ATGATCAGCCCTAACCAATGTACTTCTTTATCTCACATCATCTTTTGTCTCCCCCAGCATCTTCACAGAGGGGTAAGGTTTGATTTGTTTACTTCCTATTACCTCATGGAGAGGTGGAGCTTATTATCACAAAGATTGTATTCTCACATAGATAGCTTTTTAAACAATGGGTGGACGAATGTTAAGCAAACAAGATAATGTTATCCACACTCTTCAGATAAAGAAACAGACTCAAGAGAGGTTAATTGACTTCCCCACAGTCACATTACAAATCATTACTGGAACTCTGACTGTTAATGAGGTCTTCTGATTCCTATATCATACTGCAGATCTCCTTTTCAACTACTCTTTTCAAGACTAGAAAGTTTAATTTAGAATATTTACGGTGTTTCCTAATTCCCTATACTTATGGTATCATTTATTTAGTATCTTAAAGATTACAAGGCAAGGTAATACTATATATATATTGATAAATATGCTTGAGGAGAGCTCCTTTGATATTCTCTGATAAGGATTTTATAATGGGAATAAACATTATAGGTTAAGACATTATTTAGTTCAGCCTAATTTTAAAAAGCAAAGATGTCACTTTGAGGAATAAGGTGCACCTGACACAAGCCCTAGTATTTTCAGTCACCTCATATGCATGCAAAAGCTGGGCAATAAATAAGGGAGCCCAAGAAGAAGTAACGCATTTGAACTGTGGTTCTGGCAAAGAATATTGAATATACCATGGACTGCCAGATAAAGAACAAATCTGTCTTGGAAGAAGTACAGCGAGAATGCTCCATAGAAGCAAGAATGACCAGACTTCATCTCACCTACTTTGGTCATGTGGTCAGAAGGGGCTAGTCCATGCAGAAGGACATCATGCTTGGGTGTAGCTATGTCATATGGGGACTGTTGCTGTCTTCCACTTAGTTAGACAAAAATAAAAAGTGAATAACCATCAAAAAAGTAAAAGCAAATGGACAGAAAATACACCATGTAATCACACTGGAACAGTAATTAAAAAAATAAAAAGGGAAAACGAGAAAAATGGTAGAGAAAGACAATAATGAAGAAAAAATGGGAAAAATGCAAAAAGAAAAACAAGGAGTGGGGTTAACTACGAGAAAGAAAAAAAAAATTGCAACCAGGAACAGGGAAAAGAAAAAAATCTGAAAACTAGAACCTGGGAGGGGAAGAATAAAGAATAGTAGTAAAAAGGACAAAAGAAATAATAATACTAGTAGTTTTAAAACAGATAAAGACAAACAAAACTACAAAAACAGAAAAAAGAAGAAAAAACATGGGGGCAGGGCGGGGCAGGGCACCCAGGCTCCGTCTGAGCACACGGACTAGGGTGGAGTTCCTGCAGGCCCAGAAAGTGGGTGGGAGTGAGGGATGGCTGCACCT